AACCATGAGGATCTCAGCCCAATGTATAACTACTACATCACCAGGAATCCTCCTACAAGTTGTTAATTTTAAATCACTTTTTAAATATCTCCAGATAGGATTTTCTATTTATACAACATTTAGGTCACTCTATGGTCACCATGAGTCAGAATTAACTTCACAGCAGTGGACGTATTGCGGACAAATTTTGCCTTAAGTACCAGGCCTTTAAGAATTTAAAATTTGATCTTTTGCACCACCTAGTGGTCAAACATTCTCTCTTGATGGCAGTGAGTTTGAGAGTTCTTTGATCTTAAGTAAAATGTCTAATCCAAGAAAACTAATTAACTCCAGCATTTATAAGAAAAAGTACTCACATATTCCAAACACGTGGTAGGCATTTGATAAATATTATTAAAATAATGAATTTGGTTTTGTTTTAGTGAATTTCAGTGTATATGATTTTTTTTTAGTTGCAAGAGGCTCTTAAATGTGACAAAAATTGACTAGCAATTTTCGCTTATCAGAGCGAAGTTTTTTTAATGATCAATTTTCATTATATTTGGTGTAAACTTCAATGTAGTTGGTGAAAGCATGTTTTTACTATTCCTTTTACAACATAAGTAACCTTGCAATGTTAAAAATTGATTTTCTATAATCCCCAAATAGAGGGGGAAATTTAATAGCAAATAGTTAATTATGACTGAAAAGATACAAAGTTGTAAATTCCTCACCTGGGCTAGTATGACCTCCTTTACACATCATTTGTTGTAGAAGGTCGCCCCCTTGTGGATTGAAAGAGTGACTAAAAAGGCGGGAACCTCAAGGTGGAATTTTTTGTATTGCCAGAAAACTCCTATTTTGAAGTAAAATGAAATTAAATAATTGAAAGCAACATTAACAGTAAGTCTGGAAACATAATTACCTATGAAACAATTATATAAATTAAACGCCAATATGTATTGGATTAAAACTTGTAGAGTCAGATTAATTTCTATTCCAATTGGACCCTAGCTATGGCACTTGGGACAAGGAACCTCACAGAAGTTCAATTCCATGTTTGTCAAATAAAAAGGATGGATTAAACAGATGATATTCCCAATTCTGAAAATGCTTGATTTTGAGGTCATTGTGATCTTAAATCCAACATGCAGATTTTTTCATATTTCTGGGTACATTGCTTAAAATAAATGTTTTCTAATTATTTTCTCACTTATGACATACTACAATATTCATTTGTCAAATATTATGTTAGACCATATTTTCACAAAGGAAACATTAATGTTTCATTTCTAATGAATAAGTCCCATAATACAAAAAGACAAGCACAAATTGCCCTGAGCTAGTTACAAAATATGTAATCAGTAATTTATGTAGATGATGTTTATACTAAAGCAATGCTAACAGCTCATGTATATTACCAGATACCCTTATTTCATAGGTGAAGTACAGGTGAGGATTTTCAACAGAGCATTGTGACTATAATATATAAATGAAGCAAACCCTAACAGAGATGGTGTAAGTAGAAATATACACTTTAAAATCTGATTTTTTTTTTAAGCACTAGATATTTTCTTTTCTCACAGAGCTGCTACTTGGGAACTGGAACGCTTTTAAAAGGCCAAATTCTTAATTGTGAAAATGCAGGGACAGCTATTGTTTCACTTTTACTTATGTCATCTCTACATCGAATAAAATTGGTTCACGGAGACAGGATTTATATTGTCCAGGCACATATGCATTCTACAGAATGGAAGCCATACGTGTGCTAGAGGTTAACAGCATTTAGCTGATCTTTTGAATACATGTTTAAATCAAAAAGCAAATATTTTATAAGGGTGGGAGTGTGAAATGTACTTACAAAGGCTCAATAGTAGTTGTTGCTTTTACTAGTGGGATGGACAAATTGCCCATTAAAACAGTTATTTCAATCCATAGTCTTATTTACAAACAAACGTGAATGTGGTATGTATATATTTGCTTAATAATAAAACAGCTGACGAGTACCAGTCTGTAAAAAAAAGTAAATGGATTAAATGTACTTCGAAGCATAGTGGAGTTTTTTGACTTAGCAATTGGCAATTCCTACATCCAGGCCTCTGCTAAAGCGATTAAAGAAGAACCCTTTCCCAGAACTACAGGTGCACAACAGATTGGAGTCATTATGTAAAAGAACAGAAATCTGGAGAGAAACTGAATTTAAAAAGCCATGTTTCTGGCTACTCTTTTGCCTTTTGCTCCTGCTCACTCTCCCTCTTTATAATTTCAGCTTTATTTGAATATATAATGTGACATATGTAAAAATATATGTAATAAGTTTGCAACAACTCATTCAAAATGAGAGAGAAATGCCTTGAATTACACCAGCTTCCAGTAGGAATGGACTTGAGGTAGGATTGGAAGAGAAAGGTAAAACTCGCTTTGCTGTATTTTAAGCATAGCTTTTATGTAGGGGAATTGACAGTGAAGTGCATTACATGACTTTTTAGAGTTAAAAACTTTCTCATGGTCTTTTAATTTTCTCATCTTGTTCCAACATAAGGGATGCTCCCTTTTGTTCTAAGTTTCCAACTCAAATCTCTGAAATCTATCTCAACCAACGCCCCATTGCTCATCACTACATATTGTTTTCAGACTCATCTTCTAAAAAGGCGGTTCGAAAACTTGCCTCTGGCTTTGCCACCATATTTTCTTGATTCCATCATTATAATCGTGTAAGTCTAAAATCACTTTTGTCAAATGTTCTGCCTAAGGACTTAACCTAGCTTCTGGTCAGAAAACACATGAAATAAAACTATGAACAAGCAGTTAAGGCATCACTGTAACAGAAGAAGGAAATGGAGGAAACAAAAAGAGAGAGTTTGGGGAATTCAGATATTTGGGAAATGAGACATAGCAAAAAGGAGCAAATCCCCAAATTCAAAGATGACCAGAAAGAGATAAACAATGGAGGAATAAATGCAGTCACTCCTGGTGCTATGGTAAATGCTGAAATTTGAAGGAGAAAGATGATGCGGGTGAGAACCTGCAAAGGCCTGACTAGGAGACAGCACAAAATGTTGGTTAGATCATTGGAAAGTGGGAGAAATGGGCGCAGCGAAGAACTGGGTGATGTTAGTTGCTGGGGGGTCGCTTCCACATGGGGCCCTTCTGTCTGACAGAAGATTAGGCCAAGTGCTGCTGTAGCAATCAATCTAACACGAGCTGAACAGGGAGCATTCAATTCTGACTGCATCCTTAAGCAACAATTCACTGCCATAAAGTGGATCCCAACTCCTAAGAAGGCAGCCTCTATCCCTGAGCCTTTGGCTTCGGCGCTCCATTGTTCTTCCTCATTTGCTCTTCCCTGAAAAGCGGGAAGCTGGCTTGGTCGGTTGTTTTCAAGGCGGCACTCTTGAACTCTGAGAGAGGAGGGGAAGTTGGAAAAAGAAGCCTGGAAGAAAAAGAAGTGTTGAAGGATTCAAAAGGACTCTCCTGGGTGGGACAGACTCAAGTGTGTGTGTGTTGGGGGCGGGGGTGTAACCTCTCCTGGGTGGGACAGACTGTGTGTGTGTGTGTGTGTGTGTGTGTGTGTGTGTGTGTGTG